CTAGTAGGAATGTAAAGAATGAGAAAGGGTGTTTTAACTAAAGCGAGTCATTCTTTCAAGAAAATTGTCAATTTTTTATCTGTGTATCTAGCAAGGAGCCCCCAGTGGCCGGCAGGATTGAAGACAGGCAGGTCGAAGGTTCAAATCCGGGATGAGCTCCTCTGTCAGCTCCAGCTCCCCATGTGGGGACATGAGGGAAGCCTCCCACAATGCTGGTAAAACATCAAAACATCCGAGCATCCCCTGGGCAATGTCCTTGCAGACGGCCAATTTTCTCACACCAGAAGCGACTTGCAGTTTTTAAGTCACTCCTGGCGCACACACACACACAAATCTATCTAGCACAGTGGCCTATTTGTGTACAAAATGTTTTTACAAAGATCTCCAAAAGTTTTTCAGTCTGTGAATGATACCCTGTCTCAACACAAAGATTTTGTTCTTTTTTGCATAAAGCCAACAATTTCATGCAAAAGATTTTTTTCCTTTTTCTTTTCACATATTTTTCACAAGAAAATATCCGGAATGCAAAAAACTTGACAACAAGTGCTGACTTGTTCCACCTAATCATTAGATCCTAATAGTGAGGTTGGCCATGCCTTGATATGCAATTCCACAAGCTTGCAGGATTATGCTTCATGAAGGGTGTAGAAAGCCTTCAGTAGGAACCCCATATAGAACCCCGTACAGGTTGAGCATTCCTTATCTGGAATTCTGAAATGCAAAATTCTCCAACATCATTCACATGGGTGGCTGAGATAGTGATACCTTTGCTTTATGATTTATGTCCCGGCATTGAATGTTTGCCGCATATATGTTGTACTCCACCCTGAGACCCCTGCGAGTTGAGAAGGGTGGAATATGAATGTTTCAAATAAATAAATAAATAATTTTGCTGGTTCAATGTACATATTTTAATGCACACAATTGTTTTAAATATTGTATAAAACTACCTTCAGGCTGTATGGTGTGCACACTTGTTAGGGAGCTGCTACCAATCCCAGGTATTTAAAAGATGTATCTGTTTAAAAACCTTTTTCAAACTTATGTTTGTCACTTTCACAGTTCATTTTCTAAGGGAGAATCTGTCAATTTTAAGCTTGTCCAGGTTCCCATTTTTTATCATTAGCCTGGTCCCACCTCAGTTCTGCAAGCCTGTCTTTTTCTCCACACAAGAATAAATATATTGTTTTTCTACACATTTTATAAAAAATATCCACATTTTCCACATGTATTCATTTTATATATACTATCCCATTGATTAATGTACATTTTCAATGCACATTTTAAACTGAGCACATATTTTCATAACTTGTGAAATACTTCACAAACTCAGGAATTGTATGGAATTCTACTGACAGATTCAGATTCAGTATGGAAAACCGGATAATCTCGGATTAAAATATAAACCAAAACCATTTCCACCTGCAGCTGTTTTTGGATGCACAAGGAATTTTTAGCTATGCACTTGAGAAAAGTAATATGTGAAGAGAAGAGAAACTTACTAGTTCAAGAGCTGCATGTTCTGGTTAGGTTTTCTGAACAGTTGGAATATGTCATCTCATATGCTAGATTTCCTACTTAAAATTATGTATACTTCTCAGGCCCCAAATGGATTGGATGTTTTGCCCACATGAGACTTGCTGGACAGTCTCAACAGTTTTGACTGTCTCCAATGGAAATTCCTTCCTTTGCTAGGACAAAATCAAGTGCAAATATAGTGGCCTTAGGAGACAAACGCTTTCCAGTAGAGCGAAACCTTTGTGTGTGCAAGGTAATTGTTAAGCAAATGTGGAGGAACAATAGAAGACCACAATTGCCCAGTTCACAGGGCACACTGGAGTTATTCAAATACCTGTAGGACAAAGTAAAGGGTCATCAGCTCACGGCAGCTTCATTGTATCCAATCCAGCTCTTTTCCATCTGCAGACTGGCCCCCGAAGGGTCAGATTTGTAATTCCCATCCCTGGTGTCCTGGCCTTCTCTTCAGCTGTCCTCTTATTTTCTTCCGACACTCCTCCCCAATGCTTTATCGATCCCACCCTCCTACCCACCAGACCTCACACACGCACACACAACACGTGACAGCTGATTGGTATCTGTTAATTAATGTGGCCCGAGGCCTCTTTTCTATTCAGTGGCCTGATAAGGAAAATTGGATGTCCAAGGACTGCTGTGCCATTATTCCCCCCTTACCTCTGGCAACACAAACACAAAACATAGTGTAGTGATAAATAAATACCACTAACCCCATTCCTCTGCCCTCACTTCCTTGGGCTGAGATAGCCGAGATAGAAAAATAGAACTCCCGACTAGTCAATACAGCAATCACCAGCTCTTTTGTTAATTGCTGAGTTGATAACAAGAGAAATCAAATGATCCTTGCCGTGACTGGGCTCCTTTGGCTTGGATGCAGGCAGGCACACAAGTGCCCAAGTGAAGAGGCCTCCGGGTATGAAGGCATCCTGCCGAGCATAAATCATCACTAGTGGGACTGGAGCATCTTGGAGGCAAAGGTTAATGAGCTTAGTGAGAATTGTGGGGCACGAGGGAAGCAGTTGCATAGAATGAGGAAACAAGAAATGAAGACAATCTCTTACAACACAGGTTTTTGACCACTCTCAAAGTGCTGGCTTTGGCCTATAAAGCCCTAAAAGGCCCCGTCCCATTTTACCTGTCCAAATGCATCTCCCCCCATGAATCATCGCAGAGATTAAGATCCTCCAAGAAGGCCCTGCTCTCCATCTTGCCATTGTCACAGGCGCGATTGGTGGGGACGAGAGAGAGGCCTTCTTGGTGATTGCCCCCTGGCTATGGAACTCCTGGCAAGATCAGATCGGCCCCTTCCCTCCTGTCCTTCAGAAGGGTGGTAAAAACTTGGCTGTGAGACCAAGCTTTCAGAACAGTGCAATAAAGCAGCGATACCTTACCAAGCCAATTGGATTAGACGCAGATGATCAAGACGGTTTTAACAGTGTATTTTAATATTGAGACAAATGTTTTAATGTTTATGTATGCATGTAATGGATTCTTGTCCCAGCATTGAATATTTGCCATATATATGCTGTGCTCCACCCTGAGTCCTCTTCTGGGTGAGAAGGGTGAAATATAAATGTTTTACATAAATAAATAATAAACAGTGTGTACACCAGTTGCTACCAAGGGGTAAAAATGACAGAAGGAGTAGGCATACTTTTACGGTAGGCTTGGTCTCCATACTTTAGTTTGCTCCAGAGCTTGGAAAAGTTTATTTTTGGACTACAACTACTATACTCCCTCAACCATTGTGGTTAGTAGGCAATTATGGGAATCATAGACTAAGACAAGTAACTGTTCCAAGATCTGATTTCATTTCCAAATATATGAAATGAAAATATTTGGCAGAGCCGCACTTGCATGTTTCTGCCTCCCGCACCCCACTTGCCAGCAAGGACAGTTTTTCCTATTTCTTTTAGATAATGACTTTTATGTAATTCTTTGTCCATTTTAAAGAGCATTCTAACAGTAGCAATTGAAAATTGACTCATCCAAGAAGGAAAAGGTTGAAATAATGGAAGTGACCTTTTCTCACACTTTCTTGTGTTTGACTTTGGAATACCACCCATCTCCTTTCCCACACTGACTGTAATGTCTGTTTTTATTTTCCAACAGGGACTTTTCATGTTTCCTCTCTCAGTTCCCATTTGACATCTTCCATAGTTTATAGTCAGAAAGTATAGGTCAACTTTGAAAACTGTTGGAACATTAACTTTTTATGGGCTCTGGTGCTCAAATATAATCTAAGCATTTTTAGGATTTGTTCTGGCATCCAGGTGGGTGTTCATAGGTGTGGGTGCTGTTTTTCCACAAGTACTAAGTTAAAATAATAATTATATGGTTAATTAACACAATTCGTAAAAGTGAATTGTATTCCATGGTCATTTTAGTTTTGATTTTCTGACATGAAGATTCAATTGAGGTGAACAAGCACTGTTAGAAGACTATTCCTGTTTATTTATACCCTACCTTTTATCCAAAATTGAGACTCAATGTGGCTCATTTCTCTGAGAAAAACAATGGGTCTGGAAGCACCTTCTTGTCCAGAGGGCTAAGTAGTAGGATTCGAGGCTTGATTAATGTAAATGGAAAAAAACTGTGGTGTAGTGGCTTATGACTATGGCTTAACACTGGACTATGACTTTAGAGACCAGGGTTTGAATCCTAACTCGATCAAGGAAATCCACTGGGTAGCCTTGGACTACTCTTTCTCTCTCAGCCTCAGAGGAAGGCAGTACAGCAGTGTGTGTGTGTACATATAAAACATAAGTGAATGGGAGGCAGTAGTCTATGTGGTAAGATGTTCTGAAGAGTGGTTCCCTGTGGGTTTGAGTGATTTTAAGTCTTTCATCACAGGCTTTGTCATATTTTCCCTTTGTGTGTGTGTGTGTGTGTGTGTGAAAACAGGGCTGAACTTACTCAGAACTGCTTGTAAGGACTCATCTTGTCCAGATTTTTGTTGATTATTTCTGTTGGTAGAAGGACCATGTATGCCAATGTAGGTCACCCTTTGAGCAGGTTTTACTGGTACAGAGGAAATCAACAAAGGCGGAACCCAGTAGGAGATTAAGATGCCCTACTGACTCCACAGAAACATTTTCTTCCTTTTCCTCTGCCACCACACTTTCACAGCAGTCTGCCAGAATAACTGTGCCAGCAGATAGCTCCTTGACTCATGGGCTTAACTGTACTGCAAAGTACAGACTTACGTAAATCTTCTTGATTCTTGAAGTTATATTCTTGACTATGGTGATCGAAAGCTTCTTTTCTGTGTTGTTAAGCACTTTTGTCTAATGTGCATTTGGACCTTGAGTTTATGGTTCAGTTTTGCCATTAAAAGATTCCATGTGAGAAGATGGTTGCCTCTATGGCTGGATGATCTAATAGAGCACCTACTAGATTACAAAGCTTTAGAAGTGCTTCTACCTGCATCCATAAATTGACCTGCTGTTCTCTTGTCCTGCCAGGCTTCTCTAATCTTTCCTTGGGGGACCAGATGAGCTTATTGCAGAGTGCCTGGATGGAGATACTAATTTTGGGTATTGTATACCGTTCATTACCCTACGAGGATAAATTGGTCTATGCTGAAGACTACATCATGGATGAAGAACACTCACGTTTGACAGGGCTGCTGGAGCTCTACCTGGCCATCCTGCAGCTGGTCCGCAGGTACAAGAAGCTCAAACTGGAGAAGGAGGAGTTTGTCACACTCAAAGCCCTTGCTCTTGCTAATTCAGGTAATGCTATGATCTGGAATGGACATGTGGGCTTGATAATTAGGATTCCTAGGTCACCCCTGAGACTGTAAGGCCAAAACAAAGGTCTAGGGATGTTTTTGTGATGTTGTGGGAGGCTGGATCTAGCAATGTTACAAGGATGTTGTTACACAGGTCAGTTTGTGGTGATGCCATTAAGCATGGTGTATTAAACATCAATCATACGTGAAGTATGCTATTAAAATAAAAAACACCAACTCTAACAAATGAGAAACACGTAAACACATAGAGAGAACATTCAAGGCTGCGTTCTTATTCTGTGATGCCCCCATCTCATTCTAAGAACTGGAGAAGAGGGGCTCAGCTTTGAGATGCATCACCAGGTCCTGAGATCTGGCAATCCTACCAGTGATCATCATGTTCTGCAAAGGAGAAAGTGCTCATAGCATCAAGTTTGGCATTTGAAATAGGAATGGTTCAAAACCAGAACTTTCTAGGCCTTAAATTCATTTACATGTCTCCTGTTTATGGATGTTAAGGAGTTCTTGTATTCTTCTTTCTGCTTTGTCTTTTTAGCTAGCCAGTTATCTTCAGTTCAGAAGTAGCTGGCCTGTGGACCCCACTCAGGCATTGTGTTTGAACCACCTAAACATAGGATGAGTGGAAGAGTTCTAGCTAATGCCCACTCCCTGCACATTTGTATCACGCACTGGGAGGAAACAGTCTGAAAGGAGAGCTTCTTCCCTCTTGGGAGAGTCTTCCGTTAAACCAGAATGCAGCAGAACTGGTGTTCAAATTTGTTCAGAAGAATCCACATGGATAGAGGATTTTCTCATTACGAAGTCGTTCTCCACTTACAGTGTGTGATGGAAATGTAAGAGTGGGAGTGTGCTTCTCTTCTTCATGTGTTTAGGCTAGATGAATAAGAATACCTGCATCACAATTCAAGAAAATAAAAAAAATTCCTTGGTCCTTTTTGGGGGGGGAACCTTCTTTAGTTGATTACTAAGCCTTTGTGAAGAATACAATGTTCAGTTTTGAAGGATTTCTTCCTGCTCCATATAACACAAACTGGAAAAGTTGTTTTGATCATAATTTGGATAATCCCTCCTATGGCCTACCCTATAGGATTCTGAGTGGAATAATAATAATAAAAATTAACCTTTCCCAAGATCTGCGAAGTGTACAGGATATACCTGGACTCCGTATGGTAACCTCTTCCCCTTTCTACACCAGAGGCACTTGACAGCTTGAAAAAATCACAGTCATTGATTTTGTAATTAACAGTTTATCAATGCTATTGATACTAGTTCACTAATGGATTGCAGGAAAATTAATTGTACAGATATTCTTATTTTTTTTATAGTAAATTGCTAAATTTAAACACACACGCACACACACACACACACAAACTATGCTTGAGAGAACAATCTTGTTGAAAAGGATCTTCATGAATGTTGCCTCTCTGAGTCTGTTTCAGTCTCATGGCTTGTAAACAGTTGTCATATATCTTTACTATGTAAAAATTAGGTTAGGAATGCAGTATAATGGTTATCTGTTCCATGTTACAATGCTATGCTGCCTTGGAGGCTCTTGGAGTTAGGGAAAACAGTACCTTCCATAAACTTAGATTCTACAGACTTCATCCCACTGAACATGTCATAGAATCATAGAATCATAAGAGACCTTGTGGGCCATCCAGTCCAAGCCTCTGCCAAGAAGTAGGAAAATTGCATTCAAAACACCTGCAACAGATGGCCATCTAGCCTCTGCTTAAAAGCCTCCAAAGAAGGAACCTCAGCCATACTCCAGGGCAGAGGGTTCCACTGTTGAACAGCTCTCATACTCAGGAAGTCCTTCCTAATGTTCAGGTGGAATCTACTTTCCTGTAGTTTGAAGCCATTATTCTGCATCCTAGTCTCCAGGGCAGCAGAAAACATTTATTTATTTATTTACTATACTTGCATACTGCCTTCCATCATTGCTGCCAGCCTACCCCATCTTTTCAGTAGTTTCAGCTGCTTTTCCACTGCCTCCTTCCATTCCTTTACCTTTTCCATTGATACAGTTACACCAGCAAATGCGATAATTGCTCATGACATATTCAGACCATTGGGTTGAAGGCTTCTGGCTCATTGTATAAGTCTGATGTTGCATTTGTTGATGAACCAGTTTCTCACTACAGAGGAATTTTTTAAAAATCTAACAGCCAAATAACATGTGAATGAGGCTTAAGTTGGACCGTAGTGATATTGACCACAATGCAAAACCTTATTCAGCCGATGAATGACAGGGACCAGAATTAGTTTGTAACACATTTAATACAAACTGACTTTATTCTCATTTTCAAAATCAAAGCAGTGAATCAGCAGGCAGTCACCTTCTCATTTTTAATCTTTTCTGAATGTGACAATATATTTGTCTGTGTATTTTGGAAACTTATGAATACATTTCTGCACAAATGTCTCTGCACAAATTTGGCTAAGTTTTGAAAAATGCACACAGAAGCATCAAAGCTTGGGAAAGTTCCTCTTTGAACTGCTCTAATATTGCCTGAGGGAGTGTAGTCCAAAAAGTTACTTTTCCAAGCTCTGCAACAGGATACAATGAAGTTATGCTAAAAGGAAAATCTGAATTGTTCAAGTAATCATTAGATATTCCTGAAATTTTTCTTCTCCATTTGTCAGTGGACATAGCCCCAACATTTTTCTGCTGGCTTTCTCTTCTCACTGTCTCTCTTTTGCTTTCCAGATTCAATGCACATAGAGGACATGGAGGCTGTGCAGAAACTCCAAGACCTTCTCCATGAAGCCCTTCAGGACTACGAGCTGAGTCAACGTCACGAGGAGCCACGGCGTGCAGGAAAGCTGCTGCTGACCCTGCCTCTCCTGCGGCAAACAGCTGCCAAGGCTGTGCAACACTTCTACAGCATTAAACTGCAGGGCAAAGTCCCGATGCACAAACTCTTCCTAGAGATGCTGGAGGCCAAGGTCTGACAGGCCCATGGTGCTTGGAAAGCAAACTGGGAACAGAGACTGGGCTGTGGAACAAACCAAACTGAGCTGGCTGGCAGCTGGCCTTTATCTCCAACCATTTATTATGGGGGAAGAATTATTTAACGCCCACCTGGCTACTCGCCAACCCTTTACATCCACCTGAAAATTATTGTGTACAGAGAGGGAAACTCTTTTAATCAACATCAGTCTCTTTTTGAGGGTTGTTTTGCTTTTGGGGGTGGTTTTCTTTTCTTGCACTTGCAGAGGAAGCCAAGGGAAAAATTGGGAGTCCCTGAGCAGTGATGCTCTTTGCACTAGCCAGGGAAGCTGATGCTTTTCTCTGTCCGCCTTCTAGAGAAGGGATGAGGGGACCTTAAGCAGGGAATGCTTGAAAAACAAGAGGCTATAACCTTCATGAGAGGAGATGCCATCTGTGAGTCTGCAGCTTGACACACATATACACCGGGTTTTTCTCTCCAAATCACACGCCCAAGGGACGGTGCTTGTTTGGAGAGGAGCACCATGAGATCTCTAAAACGTCTGTATCTTATGCTCAAACTACTTGCAACATATGTACATACCAACCCTACTGTTTCATAATGGGAAAGACAGACCTGACTATGTAAGATATTCTGTTACCATGAACAGTGTCCTTGCACCTCTCTTTGCCCCCTCCCTGTGCAATCATAACATTCCCAGCAGTGGTCCCTATAGCAGCTGGAGACATGTCCACAAGAAGAAAAAGTCTCCTGTGTATGGAGCACACAGAAAGGAAGAGCCTGACACCTTTTGGTTCCAAGACTCTACTTCAGTCCTCTCCCATCTTTGCACCCTCAGGCATAGTCCTCAGATCCACCAGATGAAAATGATTAAATTTGTAATCCAATGCATCTGAAGAGTGCTAATCTGGAGAAGGTTGCTGTGTTCACCCAGTTATCCCTTTCTCTTACCATATGTGGTGCTACTTTAAAACCCTCTACCTCTTTTCTTCCTCTTCCATTTGGCACATGTCCTGGTCTGCTGGAATCCTTCCAGAATGAACAGGCCCAAATTAAAAGCACTCCTAAGTCGCTCATTTCCCAAAAGAGATTTGTACCATATTAACCTAATTCCTACAGGGCAGAGATTTGATCCTTGCTCCCTGGATACCTCCTCTTTCTGCCTCACCTGTTTCTCTAGGTCATTTGTTTGAAAATACACCAGGTTAGTGGGACCAGATTGAAGAAAACTTTGCATTGAGAGTAGGAGTGGAAATAATGGAAATAGTCACAAACTGGTGGAAAATGTGATAGAGCTACAAAACCCTGATGCGAGCAATCCTAAATAGGCATGCAAATTGCCGGGGGAATGACACTAAGTTTTTGCCAGAGCTCAAGACTTATCCCTTCATTTTGAAACTAGGCTAAGAACTGCACAAAATTAAATCAAAAGTATCTGGCTGGTCATCCCTGCTTTAGGAAAAAGGCAGGAACAAAGCTCAAATTGGAACCAGAGCTGTTAGGAAATTATGAGAAGATAGTACCTCAGAAAACAAAGTGCTTTCCCCTCAACTCAATGATAGGGAAGTGCTTCCATGTCCATTTGGCCCCTGTTTATATTTTAAAAAAGGAATTTATCACTTTTCTTGACATCACTTGCATGTGCAGTTGGTCCTAGCGGACCAATTTTTGATATTTCAGTGCAGTGGGGTGTGTCAATATATTTTTGTGTGTTTTCATAGTTCTTTTGGCATTTGACAGTGAATTCCACTGAAGCAGAGGTGTCATTGGGCTAAGATGACCAAACAAGTGAATTTCACATAATAATCACATAATCTGTGAAAACAGAACCAACCAAAGAAATAATGGTGAATGGTAAAAATCCATTGGCAACTGGATGCTGTATGTTTGCCTCCCACCTTTTCCCCAGGCACAAGGAGAACAAGCGGATTGGCCCTTTTTTTCTGAAGGGATTCCACATGTGTTTTCTTCCAAAATCCAATCCAAAATACTATTTTTGGATGAGGGCTAGGGAGAAAGAAGTGGTAGCATTACCCAACTCTGTGAAATAGTCTTCTGTGGATCTAATAGGAGTGGCAATAAACATTACAGTTTTCCATAGCCACTTATTGCATCTAGTAGCAGTTGTTTAGAGGCTGAGCAATGCTTACATAGAATATAAATTTCCGTCACAATTATATTCTCTTGTCAGTTTTGTTTTGGAATAACTACTGATTGGGTTGGATCGATTGCTGCTTTAACCCATTATGAACCTGTAGATGAATGATGAGTGAAGGGCTACACTTGAAATTGTTCATGTCCCACTGCTTTGCAACAAAGGGAGAGAGAAATACAGATATTTTCCTTCATAACTATGATGGGATTTTTCCCCAGATTAGCCCTTCCTGTTACAACTTTGTTCATATCCTACCAAAATTCTCCAAATCATGAACCATCTGAAGGAGAGGGACAATAGCTCAGAGGATCAATTTTGCATGCCATAGTCCTGGTTTGACTTCCTGGTGTTTCTTTTTAAACCACTCAACTACCATGTGATGTAAACATTTGATACCTGAGATCCAAAGGAGTCACTGCCAAAATCGACAATACTCATCTAGATATATGAATCTGATGGTATAATAAGAAGGGGTTTGGAAAATCTGTCTTGTACCAGTTTATACTTAATTAGGTAACTTATTCCGGCCCAATTGTGACCCTCAAACCTGATGGCAATGCTTCTGTTGCTGGAAGAATAGACATCCTTTTCCCCATACAGACAAGAATGTAAATAGTGGCACAAGTTACAATCATGGCAATTCTGTAGGTTCTAAAGCATGACTGAGTAGTGGATTGTGAATGCAAAAAGTTACTTAACAATTATGAATAATTATAATCCTCACCTTTACTGGGCATAAACTACATGGGGAGAATGAGGTCCATTCTATCAGTGGTCAGAATATAGCTGAAGATTTCCATCAGGGTTGGGGAAATTCAGCCAACACAAGTTATTTAATTACTTCGTTAAGTACAAACTGAAACAGAATTCTGGCCATTATTTTTTGACCTGAAAGATTCAGGGAATCATGGAACTTCTTTAATGATGACCTGAGAAAGAACCTTAGATACTGAAGGCTTTGGAGGTCCCTACTGGAAGGAAATATTTTACACTCAGGTACAAAAAGGGATCTTCCTCTTCCCTTCTCACTTCAGGATAATAAGGTACGGGCAAACTTTGTCCAACCCAGGAAGTAGCATTCCATGCTCACAACCTAGCAAGACTACTAGCTAGTTCATTCTGGATAGCTATGGTCAATTTTAAATTAGCCAGTTGTACAAGTGTAAGAACTACCCAGACTGATGGGGACCTTAGTGTATCCCCCTCCTCAGTAATGGCCGTTTAGATGCAACTACTGAGTACACAAGCAAGAAATTCTCTCTCTCATGATTCAGTAATCACAAATATAGTACACTGAATTTTAGAAAATCTATCAGATTCTTCACTCATTGTTTCTTCCTGCATATAAAGAAATTTGCAGGTTTGGTAAGTTCTTAAGAAAAAATAAATGATATCAAATTCTCACCCCTTTCCACTAGCCAATTTCAAAATGTTCAGGGATAATTCAACATGCAAAGGAACATGTTATTCCTTCCTGGCATGTAAGCATTAGAAATGAGAAGCCTATCAGCAAACAAATAATAAGTGGCAACTCTAATTAGTACAACAAATAATTTAGAATTATTGGGTTGCAATGCCAAAGTTTTAAATAGCTGGGCCATAAAACACCTCCACCTGGGTGGATGAATGAGCCAGAACACTCTGCTAAGGATCAATCTGATGCCTCATAGAAGTTTAGCTTCCACAGAATGGGCCAAATGGAAATATGATCCCACTTGACTGCAAATCCCAGAATTCGTTTACGACAAGGCATGTAGGCAAGTGCCAGAGTATAAAACTAGAGAAAACAGTTAATTGGAGGGAGTCTTTCACATCACCCCACTTTTGCACCTACCTCCTAATGTTACAGGCACTGCATTTTCTCCTTCTCTCCCTCCCACTTCTTTGCATATAATACACAGTTAAATGTCTTCTACTGTGAAATACAACCCTCCCAGTGAGCCTTGGAAGCAACTGATGCTGCTCATATTTACATTCCTCTCTGAGGGCAGTGGTCTCTGGACTTTAGTGCAAAAAATGAATACCAAGTTGATGGGAATAAATTCAGATCAATGGTGAGATACTACTCCATTTGTATCTGCAGAAACATGGGCATTACTTTAAAGGGACAATGTGAAGAAACTGCAAAACCACAGCCAAAACAGTATTGTTCATGCCAAATAGGAGGTGTTATTTTTGTCTTCATAACCACAATGACATAGGCATTTGGAACTGTTTAACATATATTTTGAAATCATGCTAAAACAAGTGTCACTAAAACAAAACAAAAAAAGATGAAGTCGTGGAGAAAGACCTAAGAATGTAAATAGCTGAGCTTTTAGCCAGTTAGACTGGAGTGTTTCCACCTCATAGCTACAGGCTACAACCAATCATGTGGTCAAAAACCTGCCCTGCTCTTGGGGCTCAATGATTAAGAAAAGCCAAAAAAGAAATGGAAGTGGGGAATAAAAAGATGGAAAGCCTGTGCAAACTATTCAGGGTGTTATCGTACAAGTGTGGGGAAAAAAACAAACAGTATCTACTCAACTATTATCTGCTCCTAAAAATGCTGTTAAATAAGTAATTAAATAAATCATATTCTTGTGGTACAGGTCATTTCAAACAAACAGAAATAAAACAAATGTACAAACAATTATCTTTGAGTTGGCTTTTATTGGGTACGCTGAAGCACTTTTACCCAAATTACATTAACAAATTTCCTTTGTGCTGTATTCCTCTTCATTTTATTATACATTATATAGTATATTGGCGCATATAATTACCTGGCATTGCCCAGGCATTTCTTCTTCCTTCCCCTCAGAGGCCACCGCCACCTCCCCTCTCCTGCAGTTCCCTCAAAGATGGGGTGGAAGGTCTTCCACTTGCCTCCTTTCTCCGATCTCCAGATTGCTTCCATATTTGTTTGGTCCCTTGAGAAGACCTCCCTTAAAACGTCTATATGGCAACCCTCCGATCCACTTCTTATCAGTGGGTAGGATCTCTGAGATGGCATGAAATGGAAAGGCCTCTCCTGGAATGAAACAAAAGGCAAGTGGGTCTGAGTACCAGTTTCAAGCCTGCATTTCAGATCAATTACCTGGGGCCTAGCAGGGCCTGCAACGGAGCACCAAGTAAGGAGCGCTCCTTACCCGGCACACAGCTAAAGGCCCTGCAAAGCCCGGGTACAAATACTTTGGGCCTATGGGTCAGGCTTTGGGTCTCCATACCTGGGCATAACAGGGCCTGCAGCTGAGTGCCAAGTAAGGAGCGCTCCTTACTTGGTGCTTGGCTGCAGGCCCTGCCAGGCCCCAGGCAATAAATCCAAAAAGCAGGCTTGGAGACAGTACCCACTCCCGCCTGCCTTTTGTTTCAATTTCCTATGGATGAAGTCCCCCCACCCACCCAATGGGCCATAAGAAAACAAAACAAAAAACCCAAATATCTGACCTTCCAATTTTGGGAGGCATAGATGAAAACAGATCAGGACCTCGCCCCCCGAAAGCCGGGACACTAAATGGATCAAGTAAGTACAGTTGGTCCTTCATATCCACAAATCTGCACCACACTGATTCCACCATCCTTAGCTTGATTTTTTTAACCCTAAAAGCAAATCTTGATTTTGCCAGAAGGGACATTTTCCTGTACCATTGTATATAACGGAATGTAAGCCTCCATAGATTTTAGTATCCATGGGGAGTCCTGGAACCAAATTTCAGCAGATACTGAGGGTCCCCTGTATGTTGTATTAAATGCTGTATCCTCACTTTCCTCCCAAGGCATTTCCAGTCCTAATTCCGCTTCCAAATAAATTTTGGTAAAGCAATATAACAGCAGAAATAAAAAAATTTACCATAGAATCATCTGCAGTATTGATTTTATTAACACATCAAGATGAGTCCTCTTGTGGAAACAGAAGCTGAAACGTCTGCTATCCAGTTATGAATGCATAACTCAGAGTAGCATGTTCATGACTGGTTCATATTAATGATCTCCATGTATTCCTTAGTTCAGACGATATGTGGAACTTTCCCAGCCACCATTTACCAGGCAGCGGCTACTGTAATCAGGAGGTTTCTGTTCCCCTGTTGACCAGAAGGCAGCTAACTGATGGTCCCATCTACATCTTACACAAGTTATCTCTAGAACAAGTTGGAATTGCAACATGGAGCCTGCTTCTGTCTGTTAGTCTGGAGATTGCTCACAGGAGAGGCTGGAACTGCCAGTCAGATGCTTTGTAGCCAACAAAGATGCATCATGTCAGTAAATACTTGTTGCATTTTCAACAGCTTGAACATTCATGCATGGGCAATGTGCACTAATAAAGGCAGTTTGCTCATCAGATAAAGAAGCAAAAAGTCACAGAAAAACCATTACAGCTAAGCTGGCTGTGGCTGATAGAAACTAAAGCCTGTATTTAATAGAGGGGTTAAAAACCAAATCACATAAATGTTGTTTTCATGGGGAGATTGAGGGGGGGGGGGGGGTTGGGCGGTAATTTACACAGCTTGTCAATTAAACCAAGTGCAATATGTGGGTTATGAATAATTTTATTGGGGTGAAGAGTGATATTTTTGGACAGAAAGTGATCTAAAGCTAGATTATATCATCTCGAACAATTCCATTTTCATAGCTGTAAATTTTCTTCAATTTTAATATTGAAGCTAGTCAATCCTGCAAATAATGTTTATTACCATTTACATTATTAAAACTGCAGACACCAACCCAAACATAATAATGTGCATAGATGCATCTTGAGATCATCACTAGAAAAAAGGGTGGGTGGATGGGTGGGTAATGATTCTGAAATTATAGTTTAATTTGTGTCTTGGAACAGTGCAATGGACCCTTTGTTTCCATGACCTCCCAGGGATACCAAACTCTATAGACATTCAAGTCCCATTATGTAAAATGGTGTACCTGATATGACAAAAATCAGGCTTCCCTTTTTTTGTGTTGGGGAGAATATTCTCAAGCAAAGTGCTGTCTGAAATCTAGGGTCTTTCCTGGTGTGTGGCAGCTCTGAGTCAGCCCAAACAGATTCACACAGCAGGAGCTGAAGGCAGTACAGAAACCTGTTTATTCAGCTCTGGCCAGAGTGAACATTGGGGGCAATCCCAAATCTAGCATGTTCCTCAAGCCCAAACAGGGTTTCTTTGTGAAAAAGTTACATACTTTTAGAAACATGAAGAATAGAGATGATTGATGAAGTTTCAGGATCCAGAGTTTCATTGGATGTGGAGGTTCGTCTTTGTCTCATATTTCATTGGCTGGAAATGTAAAGGTCCGTGAATCTTGGTTGCTGATTGGCTAGGGGTTCTGGCAGGAATTTCAATAAACTGTCATTGGATGAATTTGAAGTTCATTTTTTGCCTGGTGTGTCTGCCTACCTGAGAAGGTCTGGGAATAGAATTTGGGCACAGATGGGAGATAATGAGTACTTGAGAGGATTATCTCTGAGGACACAGTTCCCAAGTCTCACATAACGGGATTCCTGTGCACCCAGATGAGTCCTGGAATTTAGGGACAATGCGTGTTTAGGTGACCTGATAGACTCCACAGATATGAGAAAGGTGTGAGGAGATGGATAAATAGGTTTTCCAGTTTCTGCTGGGCTCAAACC